TCCCTCCCAGAATGCACTGCAGCGGCGTTCGCCTTGCTGACTCAGCAGCATCGCTTTAAGCCTCGACACACAAACGACACACAAACGACACACACACACTTCAACGTGCGGCGTTGCGACGTTGCGTTGCAGCGTTGCGCCACATCAATGGTTAAAATAATCTCATTGTAATTTGAATTAAATGAATAAGAAAAATCTTAAAACAACTTTTTTGACTTTTAGACGAAGAAACGGAGAGAAAATTTGCTTCATTTTGATCCACATTATGCGTCTTTAATGAATCATAATTTTGCTTTTTTTTAAAAAAACTTTTACATCTGCACAAGATATTAAACTCATGTAGTTAAATGAGTTTCTCACTTTAATGAGACACATTTTATATATTGTTATAACGGGTTTCTTAAAGTTTCTCACTGTAATGAGACATTTTAGTGAGAAAGTTCTCATTGTAGCTTAGTTTGTGTCTCATTAAATGAAAGTTTTCTCATTTTCATGAGAAACTTTATAAGATTTAAAACTAGTCTCATTAACTGAGGTTTCTCATTTTAATGAAGTTTCTCATTTTCACATGATTTGCATCTCGTTATAAAACAGTTGCGCTCTTGAATCTCTTTCCAAGTTCTGCCAGAAACATAATTAAATATTTATGAAGAAAGAACGACAGTTTAATAACATAAATCATGAATTTACTGTAGAAATGTGTAAAAATAGTTTTTCTCTTTAATGTTTTCTGTTTCGTTTGGAGGGTTTTACAGAAAGTGACCTGAACTTCACCTCCTCTCCCTCCTTCAAACTCCGTCACCTTCTGGCCAACATTTACAGTAAATACAAACCTGAGACACCTGTGTAAACCGCTGCCGCCGCCATCTGCCTGCTGCAGACTCTGCTGTCAGGAGAAACCACCAAACGGCCAGAGAGGCGCAGAGGGCCACTTTAAACTCACTGAGAGAAGCTCTGAGTTTATAGCTGCTAGTGATCGGGGATCAGCTAGCTGCATGCTAACACATTAGCCTCAAAGAAGACAAAATAATGTAAAATGATCTAACATATACATCACAATTACCCTAAATGATGTGAAGTGAGAAATTAGAAATGATCATTTTACACCATCAAAGCAGAATATTTTCCACAGAAAACGTTTAAACTGACATTACAGTTTATTTAAAACTTTTAATATTATAGAAATTTGGTATAAAGGTGAGAAAACATAAACATGCCTTTACATTTTCAGGCAAACATCAGTTCATAGTCGTGTATTAGCTTAGCTTAGCCTAGCTTAGCCTTGCTAATCATTTCTTTAGATAATCTTAGTTTAGCTTCCCTTAGCTATCTTAGCTGGCCTAGTTAGCTAATCATAGTTTATATTACATGTCTTAGCCTTTCTAACTTTACTTCATTATCTATTCTATTTAAATTAAACATGTTTCAGATTAAACTTTAAATGTTTTTATTATTTTAAAATTAAATCTGGAACTAACAGGGATTTCTTAATATGGCTCCTTCACAGTTTTATTAATGTTTGGTTGTTTGTCTGAAGTTTGTTTCCAGTTTTCTGCTAACAAAATGAAAGCACCAAGACGTTCCACCTTTCGCTGTTTTTGGTTGATATGACAGCAGAATAGTTTAATGCAATGAAGTCACATTTGAGAACCAAACATTGACAACAAAAGCCTCTCTGTGACATGCAGCTAATAACCGTTAGCTGTTAGCTGTTAGCTGTGTGGTATCCAGTTCCTCCTCACTTCCCACTGCTCCCCACAGCTGGACGATTACACAGGTGTTTGGCAAAAACACACTGTTTGGACTACAGAGGGGACGTGTGTGTGTGTGTGTGTGTGTGTGTGTGTGTGTGTGTGTGTGTGTGCGTGTGTGTGTGTGTGTTTGCTTGCACAGCTTTCCTGCAGGGCTTTAGTGTTTAAATGTGTGTTTTTATTAGCGCTGATTCAGAGCAGGAAGAAAGCTGGTCTGAATCGGTGCTAAAAACTTTCACCACACGTTCTGAGTTTCCAGCTACGTCTCAGTTGTAGTCATGCTTGTAATGCTTTTCAAAACAAATCAGCGAGGTCCGGGTTCCTGCACCGTCTAGATGCTCTGGAAAAACAAAATGAGGCTTTAGAAATGTCTCAGCGTCGTCCTGACCTGGATTATTTAGCTTTCCTAGCTTCTCATCACCTTTTTAATTAGCTCCTTAGCTTTGCTTAAAGTTTACTTGTCTTGCTTTTACACTTTTCCTTTTCACTTTTAAATCATCTAAACGTTTTATTCCCAAATTGCTTAAAAATGTTTTTTCTTGTTGGAGGCAGAAAATGCTACTAAAACATAAACAAACACGTCTCGTACACAAGGCCTAAATCGTATTTTGACAAAAATGAAAGATTATTATTTTAGGAAGGTGACGATGTTCATTAACTGTTTAGTTATTTGTAGTGAAAGTTGTTTCCATTTTAAAAGTGTAATTTGTTTGCTTTGTTGCAGTTTGATAAATTTTTTGCTTTCTTGCTACTTTTGCTAACATCCTGTGGGCTCAGCCCCCTGGTGCTTAAGGCCTAGAGACGCCCCTGGATGTTGAGAAACATAATAGGAAGTAGAAAAAAACCAAACAGATTGACAAAATGAGACAAACAGGAGCAACAGGAGACGATAAATTCAACAAAAACAATCAAAACAAAACAGAATTAAGGCTTAAAAAGTGAATTTAAAGCCGACAAACAAGGAATTAATTTCCTCTCTCTGCACAAGAGAGACAAGAGAAAAACGTTTCTACACTTCTGTTAAAATGAATCTGATTTTCAGGTACCATGAGACAAATGGTCTTGATTTGGGGACATTTTCTGAGAGCCGAAGTTTGGAGCGTCTGGTTGGAATCGGACCGGTTCTGGACGTGGCGCCAGGTGAATGTGTTGCTGTTCGACCCGCTCACACAGAGATACGCTGTCAGGATGTAACTGTTCGTTCTGCTGCGACTCAAGGATGAAGCTCAGACTAAACTGTTGTTCTGAATGTTCTTCCTTCTTTCACACACTGATAATAAGAGTTTATTCTGCTGCTCAGACACAGAAAAACACCAAATAAACCTGATAAAAATCCAACAAATTCAACATTTAAATCAGCAGTAGTTTTGTCTCTCAGGTTTTTATGATCATTTTAAACCTTTTGCTGCAATTTGTGTATTTTTTTATTTTTTTAAATAAACATAATCTGCAGAATTAATCATTTTATAGTTTATTTGATGGGATTATCTTCCAGACAACAGTAAATACTTAATAGGTCTATTAATCTGCTAATATTTCTTTAATGGTATAATATGAGAATAGATTCGTAGTAATACAAAATGAAGCCGTAGAGTTATGAGAATGAAGTCAATGTTTTGATTATACATGATGTTGTAAAAATATGAGAATAGTTATAATATTATGACAATGAACTTTTATGAGAATAAAGTTGAAATAATGTGAATAAAGTCAATATTTCAAGGATAAATCTGTAATCTGAAGATTTTAATCTCTTATCCCTGATATTTGCTTTAAGGTGGTGCACTTTATTTTTACCATGTGTATAGTTCCGTATAACTTCTTATTATTACTACCCACATGCTGCTACCTGCTAGCTTGTTAGCATCTTTAGCCTCTTTAGCTCCTGCTTGACTTTCAGATTTGGGATTTCAGGCGTTCAGACCAATAAACCTGCTTCATGCTGCGACTTGGTGGTGGCAGCATCATGCTGTGGGTCGGAGTCGATGGGAAGAAAAACCTGAAGTAGAAATGGATATTATGGGATGGTTTAGATCAGGGGTGTCCAAAGTGAGGCCCGCGGGCCGTTTGTGGCCCTTAAAATGATGGAATTAAAGTTATAAAAGGACGAGAATAAAGTCATAAAACTGAAAATAAAGTCATGAGAAATTAATTTTAAATATTATGAGAATAAAGTTGTACAAGAAAAAAGTCTTAATGTTGCTGCAATAAAATCAGAAAATTGACAATGAAGCTGAAATAATGAGAAAAAAGAAAATGGCTTTAAGAGAAACTTTAATGACATTTAAAGTCATTTACTGTATAATTTCTAAAGCTCTGAAAAATAATGTTATGTTTATCATTTGTTTTGAGCCACATTCATAAAACTAGAATATTTACATCAGGAAAAGTTCTGGGTTTGAGTGAAGCCAACATGCAGTTCTCCAGTCGTCCACCAGGGGGCGGATGATGATAATCTGATCTGATAAAACGGTTTTAGAGCAAAGCAAACATTTACATTTAGATTAAAATCTGAACTTCAGACACTCATTCATAACCCTCTGAAGGCTGCAGTTATTCTAGTTGTTTGCATTTTTATACCACAGTTTTTCCTTCCACTAAACATTCCACCACTACAAACTGAGAGCTTCTTCAGAAATGAGGCTCTGTTTCTTGTCCTGCTACATCATCGTGTATTTTTTGCTTTGTAACTGAATCACTTCAATAAATGAACAATTTGTGGATAGATATTTATTGTTTTGCACTTTTTTCTTCCACTTAACTTTCTACTAATATATCCAAGCAGCTGAAACTCAAATCCCCCCCTTTTTTTGTATTTCTTGCAACTAAATCACTTTAATAAATTAACTATTTATGAAAAAAAGTTTCTTTTTTGCACCTTTTTCTCCTGCATTTTTTCCTTCTACTGAACTTTCTGCTGATATATGCCTGAATAGATCCATCCAGCCTCTTCAGTCGTTACATGTTTGGGTTTCCATTCTCAATAAGCCACAATCATCAAAATAGCAAATCAAAGGAAATTAAGTATTTTTATAATTTTTTTCACTTTATTATTTCAATTTAATTTTTGTGACTAAACTAGTTAAAATAATTAAGTGTTTTTTGGGCAGGTTTGTTGTTTTTTTCACTGTTTTGCATTTTTTTCTCCCACATTTTTTCCTTCCACTAAACTTTCCATGGAACAAGCGCGAGCTGTTTCTCCAGTCGTGACCTTTTTGCAGCATTTCCTCTGTAAAACACATTCATGTTCTTGTTTCCTGGATGTTACAGAAGAACTTCCAGCATGTCCCCCTGCGTGGACTGCGTGGGGTTTCTGGTGGGAATTCATGAAATAACTGCGGGTTTGGGTGATTCGTGGAGACGCACCTGTGTTAGTTTGCTAATTATCGCGGATGAAAGCAGCCAATCACCGCATCAAACCGCCAGTCAATCAAAGCGCCTCGTCAGTTTTCTGCTTCTTCCAGCTTTAGTTGTGCGCTCAGAGTTTTGCTCGCTCCTGCAGCCGCAGCAGCTGTGAGCTAGGTGGCCGCAGTCCCGCATTTATCACGCAGCCAGCCGCGCATCCAGGCAGGCAGCGCCGCGCAGGGGCTCCGTCCTGCGCACCGGGGATCTCCAGCAGCCGCCGCCGACAGGAGCGCACTGCCAGCCGGCGTGGGAGCAGCGCGCATCCCGCCTGGACTCTCCCTCTGAAACACTCAGCTTTTTCTTTTCTTTTCTTTTCTCTTGTTTTTTTGGGTTTTTGCGGCTGGAGAAGAAGAGCGAGTGAGTGCGGAGTGAGGGGGGGAACACGCGAAAACACTCCCCTCTCTCTTCTCTTCTTTTATTTCCTGTCAGTTTGTTTTATTTCCTGCTGCCAGAAACCAGGAACCGGGACTGAAGCGAGCCGCAGCGCGGAGGATGAAGCCGAACTAGCCCCGCTGGTCGCGGCTCCGCGCTCCTTTTTCTGGATTTATTCCGCTGTGGAGGAAAAAAAGCGAAAGAAGCGACCCGGTGCGCACAGACCCCTCTACTCTTCCTCTTCCTCTTCCTCTCCTCCCCTCCTGTCTCCATCTCTGTCCGTCTGCTTGTCCATGTTTGTAGGTGATTTAGCTAAAATGCACCATCATCAGCAGCGGATGGCCGCGTTGGGGACGGACAAGGAGCTGAGCGACCTGCTGGATTTCAGCGCGGTAAGGAGACGCGCCTCTCCGGCCGCCGCGGCGCGGCGCGGTGCGGCGCGGCGCGGCGCGGGTCTCTGACTCGCTGCTGCTTTAACTCACTTTAACTTCTGATGCTTCTGTTGTTTGGAGTAACTTGCTCTAACAGAAACAAACTCTGTGCATATATTGTTGTTTGAATTTGATTTTTTGCCTGTGTGTGTGTGTGTGTGTGTGTGTGTGTGTGTGTGTGTGTGTGTGTGTGTGTGTGTGTGTTTAGACAATTGTGATGCTGCATCAGTAATTTTGTTGTCTTGTAGATGCCAAACAGCGATTTGAAAATGTTCCCAACATCCATGGTAGTATATCTCATTTTAAGTCCTTTTCTTTCTCCCTGTGTTTCTCCTGATGATTTATTCTGATTTTACTGAGTTTCTGCAGCAGGATAGAAATGATCGATGCTGGATTTGCAAAATGCATGACAAAAAAAAAGCCCAGCAGGATTTTATGTCTCCAAACTTCATTTAAATTTCTGCCTCTGTTTGTGATGAACAGCTTGTGTTTTGAACTTGACGGACAGGAAGTCGTCTCCCAGCTCCCTGCCATGTTTTTTTTTTCTCCCTCTGAGATCAACTTTAGAGGAGGAGGGAAAAGAGAAACTGAAACACCCTGAATGCGCCGCAGTTCGCAGGAAAAAACTCGCATTATAAAACGTCTGCATGCAAATCGGGAATAAAAATCAGTTTAAGAGATTTAATACATAATGTTTTTCATTTAAATTAGACTGCAGAAAAATGTGCAGAGAAATATCCACAAATTATTTTAAATTGTTCAAATTCACCACAAATTGACTAATTAATAATTAAAAAGCAAAAGAAATGAAAGAATTTTTTCTTGTTAATTATAAGGAGTTAAAACTGAACGTTCTTGTTGCAGCAGGTCCCAATAATAAAATCTCTAAAGCTGCTCTGTAATCTAAATATCGGCCTTTATTTCCATAATTCTCCCACTTTTATCCTCTTGTTTCTCCTGCATCACCGTCAGATTGAGGAACCTGCGTATCCAACATGTGAATCAGTTTTGATTTAGTTGAATTGGGAGCAGATCCGTCGTCAGCGCGTTGAAACAAAGGAGGGCAGAGCAGCTAAAACCAGCCTGCTCTCTAATTTATGCGATTATGTGCCTTCATGGCGCCTGGCGGCCGTTTATCGATGGAGACGCTGATAATCCAGATTAGGACCAGAAAACGACTGAAACGGCGGCGTTTCTCTGAAAGCGTGGCGTTTGGTGTTGGGCGCCTCTGATTGGCCGAGGATCCAGCCGCTTTAACTCGCCTTGTTTCTGCTGCACATGTCTAGAGCAGGTGGCGACTAGCTGTGATGGTTTCTGCAACGTTTCAGTCTGAAATGAATCGCTTCACTCCAAGACGAACCGGCGCCTTTGTGACTCCTAACACTGCTCGAAACTCCTGTGTTTTTGTCTTCCTATGATGGCTGGACCAATCAGAGCCGAGTCTGAAACACCTGAGCGACTCGTTCCAGAGGTCATTCCAGAGTCGCAGGATGACGACCGGCGTCCATGTTTGTTTTAAAAGCCTTCAGACGAGACAAATATTCAGACCTTGATGTGGAAATCCTTGAGCTTCAGACATTTTGTTCCCAAACTTCCCGGCTTCAAACCAACAAACTCGTGATGATCCCAACTTTCTGACCTGCTAGACTTTTGGCTTGTTGAGACAAAATGAACTGACTGAACTGTGTGGATCGTTGGCCAGCTGACCCGTGGTTTCAGCTGATCGGGTTTCCTGACTGAACTTGCAGGAATAAAGAGCCGTGAGGTCAAAGGGTCAAAGTTGAGTCCCAACCTTCACAGCATTGACATGTTCATGACTCGGGGATCATTACTCGTATTAATCAGACTTCATGTTGCATTTGGAGGTTTGCATTAATCAGTCGTGGCGTTGCTTTGTATGGACCGAGATCCAGATCTGGAGTCTTGGTTTCACTGGACTGTTGGACTCATTGGACTCATTGGTTTCAGCAGACTGTTGGACTCATTGGACTCATTGGACTCATTGGTTTCAGCAGACTGTTGGACTCATTGAACTCATTGGACTGGACTTGGAACCTGACTCAGTTGGGATTTGACTCTGGATCCGTTGGTCTTGAGGTCGACTCGACTGCCTTTCTATACATGATCTGCTCTTTGCTTTGGGTTTTCTCGCCACACCGTTGGTCTCTTTGGACGGACTTGGACTTGGCTCTCAGGATGTTGGTCTTGCTTTGGGACTTGCTTTGTGGTTCTGACTGGAATGCTACTCATCTTGACTCCAGACTTGATCCTGGGTGACCAATGCTGGTCGTAACACGAGTCTTTGTGTCCTTTAGACTTTCTGACCAGATCTTGACATCGTCCGGATTCTCTTGGGTTTAAAACTCATTGACTTGTTGAATTGTTGAACCTTGTCTCGGACTCGCTCCCTGTACTGATATTCATATTGGAGTAGACAGCCCTAATCACGATGTAGCTGATGTTGACTAAGCAGTTAATTCCAGATAAGATCAGGATTTTGGTCTGGCGCCATTGAAATCCAGTTTCAGGGCCTGAGACTCGCATGCTGGTCTTGGTTTGGTTTGTCAGGCTGCTGCTGTAACTTACCTTGGACTTGCTTATAACTTTATGCTTGTTGGACCTGGAAGCTAGCTTCCTTTAGTGAGGATTGGACTCTGGACATGTTGTCTTTGTCTTGACATTTCTTGTTCAACTGTAACTGTGGACTAATTGAACCAAACCTGAGGTCTAAATAGTTTGACTCTGGATGAATCCCTCGGTGTTGTACCTGTTAGACGGAGTTGTAGTTTCTGTTGGTATTGATTGAGAACTTTGACTTACTGGACCTTATCTTGAGCTAACCTTGGTTTCAGACGTGTAGGATGAGTCGGGTCCAAAAGAGTTGGGCGTTGCTGGTCTTGACGAAGGATCCTTCATGCAACGTCTTGATGTCTGACGTGCTCTGCAGTTTCACGGCCTTGGAGGAGCTCGTTATGACACCTGCCTGTGATGCGGATGTTTTCTGACGTCTTCATCATCACCTGTTCCTCATGATTCCCAATCAGCCAGAATCAAGGCCTAGTTCAAGACTTTGACCCTCTTGGTGTAAGATTTGACTCGCAGTCAGTGTTGGACCTTCCACTTGAGATTTGACAACTTGTCAGATCTCCTACCTTAGACTTACTAGTTACAAGTTTTGTGTCGTTAGATTGGCTTGAGCTGATCCTGGACTTTGACTGAGCCTTTTTGACTTGATGTTCAATATATGAAACATCCCTGTGACACAGAGACTAAGGTTGATAAAACATTAATTAGGATACCAAGAGACTCTGCTGGATGATCAAACCCAGTCCAAGTCATGATATGAAGACAAAACCATAAATAAAATGCAGATGATGCCTGGACGCAGGCGGCCGATGTGCTGCCTGCGTCCAGCTGCAGGTGTGATGTTTGGAGTGAAGCGTTTCATGCACAGTGCAGTGATGTAACTGTAGATGTTTCTTGCTGTTTGCAGCGTCAGTGCTCTCAGAGGTAATCTGTTCTCTGTTTGTCTTGTAGATGTTTTCCCCTCCTGTTAGCAGTGGAAAGAACGGACCCACCTCCCTGGGGAGCGGACATTTCTCCGGCTCAAGTACGTCACCATCACCTTCCTCTCTTCTTCTACTTCCTCCTCATCTTTTTCCTCGATCCTCTCTTTCCCTACACCTGCTCGCTGACGGCTGTTTGAATGTTCCTGCAGTGTTTGGGTTTTCTGCCGGAGCGTCTTGCATCGCTGGGCCTCATTTTCTTTTTGATTTTATGCTAAATAAGTCTTTAGAGTCGTTGTACAGAGTGACTGTTAAAAGTTGTTGGTTAGTTTTTACTTGTTTTTGCTCAAACTGCCTTTGCAGCTCGTTTTCAGTGACCGGTCCAAGTTCTGGCCCAAACCCCCAGGTCTTCATTTGGTCTTTAATTTTTGCTGCGATGCATAAAGTTGTTGCTCATGTTCACTCCTGATGGAAACTTCCTGTTTTCCTGATTTGCTGCTCTTGTCCCTTCCTGCCGGTGCGTGTTGCTCAGATCTGGTCATTACATGCATTGTTTGGGTTCAAAGCAAAGAAACAAGCTGTGGATTTTCTCCATGTTTCTTATGTTGCAGCTTATTCACTCATTTTATTCCTCTGTTGCCTCTTTCAGCTGTTTTTGATGCTGCTGTTTGGTTTTTATTAAGCTCTTGTTGTGAATGTTTGTGTGCTGATGCTGGAAAAAGTGACGGAAAAGCCATGAAACGCCGTTTGGTTTGTTGTTCAGCAGCAGCTGATGGCGTTACGGAAACAAAAACCTTTTAGGATTATTTTCACTCAGTTTGGAGATGAATTGATTGCTGATTTATAAAATCCACACTATGCCAGCTTCCTGTTGACCATCTATGGACTCTGTTTGTGGGATCCAGTTAGCATTTATGCTAACTCATCAGGCTAATGAGACCCAAATACAACTTTCTGATCAAGCCCAAAAAATTTAATTTGAACCAGTTCCACATGTGGATCTGAATCATAAATGATCATTTTTAAAGATTGAAGGTCTTGTGTTGATTTTTGCCTCAGAGTTTAAAAGTGATTGGTCGTAAACAAATCTGTAGTTGCTTTTAATTAGGAAACGATCAGTTTATCATCAACATGTTTATTCCATATATGTTCCTTTAAATACTTTCATGTTTGCTGCCTGTGATGAACAAAGTGCACTGATCAGATTTAAAGCTCGTTGCTGTTTTTCCAGATATTAGCGCTCACTAGCTAACTCATCCTCAGCTCAGCTGTCAAGTTAATTTATTTTGTAGCCATTAATAAAATCTAAAGTATTATAAACTCGATCCAAACACCCTGACCTTCACACGCCACACTGACTGCACTGCAGCTAAAGAACGTAGCTTTGGCTAACTGTTAGCTCTAGCTAACTTAGCTAACAGCTAGATGAGCAGAGATGAACAAATATCTTCAAAAGTTGAATGAAATGATTGAGGTTTAGCATCAGTTGACGTGAGGCTAAGCTAATGGTTCAGAGGAGGCCTGTTGCTAATGGAGTTAGCATTAGCTTAGGTGTTAGCTGAAGATAAAGTTTACAGGTGAGCACAGTCCGTGGCATCACCCCTCCACCACCGAGCTGTGAAATGTTTGTCATTTAATGTTAGCGATAAATGTGAAACGTTCTCATGACCACAGAATTAATAAACGCATCAAATTCAACTCCAGCTCAACTGGATTTGTCTGCGATCAAAACTCATTGAGTTCTTCCTCTGCTGCCCGTCAGGCCGACTCCACACTTCCTGTTCTAACAGCCAATCGGGTCGTTCTGTTGGCGCTCTGCCTCCAAGCGAAGCTCGGAAGCCATTTTGTTTCTTGGCTGGGAAGCAGAGGGACGTCGAGGTGTCGCCTTTGTTTACCGCGCCGATGTGCCTGGTTGTTGTTTTCTGCTCCCTGCCGTGAATGCAGATCGCAGGGAAGACGACAAATTTACAGATTTGGCAGCTCGCTCGCTCGCCCCTCCTCCCCCTCTCTCTCTCTCGGTTCTGTTGGGCCTGAAGTTCTAACTCATAACCAGAACGTTCCTTTATTTTGATTCACATAGTTGTATCATGCAAACACACGAGCACCGCTCTCCTCGGACAAATCACGCCCTGGTTCCCACACACACAGACACACACACGCGTGCTGCCACCACACACAGACACACACACGCACACACACACACACACACACACACACACACACACACACACCCTGCCACACACACACACACACACACACACAAACACGCGCGCGCGCGTCCTGCCACCCCCGCTGCGGCTTTCTGCAGGCCTCGGCATTTTGATGAGCCGGCTGCTGAATGCAGCTAATTAGAGCCTGTAGGCTCCACAACCACCAGGCTGAGGTTTCCAACCGCCGGGGCGCGGCCACAGGCTGGGACGGGCCCAGAACGAACGAGGTCCTTCACGCCTTCCAGGCCTGATGGTGGATTTTTAAACCTATGAAGAAACATCTGGATTGAAAATCTACCTTGGTCACGATTTTCACTGAATTTCATAAATGTCTTTATTGGAGCAAAAAGGAAGTTTGAGTAATCCAGTTTAACCTGATTAATTAGAAGATCAATGAAAATGACCAGTTATTGACAAACTGCAGACTGATGTAGCCAAGTGTATGTGGTGGAAAGTTGAGTGGAAGGAAAAAGTTGTAATTCAAGAATATGTCATACAGGAAGTCAAAATATTTTATTAACATAATAAAAACTGCTGTGAGGTCTGAGATGTTTGAACTCCAGGTACCTGGAGATGACCTTTGACCCTCTGTTGTTCTTCCTCCCTGACGTTGTTAACGTGTGACACAAAGTGGGATTTTTAAAATGCATTTATTTTTAAATCAATATTTTTATAAATTGTAAAAATATTTTTCTAGTTTTTGTTTGCTTATCTTTCCTCTGTGGCATTTTCAAACATTTTTTAATTTTAAAAATGTTTTTATTGTATATTTCTAGTTTTCCGGCCTGAACAGGAACAGGAAGTTTTTCTTTTTCAATTAAGCTCTTTATTCGTATTTTGGCTCTTTATTCGTATTTTGGCTCTTTATTCGTATTTTGGCTCTTGCATTTTAAAAAACCTCCAGTTTCTGTTTCTGCAGCTAAAATCATTTCTACTAAATGTGTTTTACTCTGATTTGTTTGACTAAAGGAGAAAATTAATTAATTTGTGACGTTTTCTATTAATTTATCGTTTTCTGACTCCAGTTTTAGCCAAACGTTCCCAGCCTTCACTGCTCTGCTGTCATTTCTGTCAGGAAATCTGCACATTGTTGCTGAGGCGTTTCAATGAAAGCCGTGAAGCGGAGGTGAAAACATGTCGGATGCTAAGCTAAATCAGGCCCAGGCTAATGAATAAACCACAAAGAGCGACTTGTTTCCTGATGAGATTGGATTCCCAAATGACAGCTTCCCTCTGAATTAACGCCTTCATTCCGGGCCAGAAACTCAGCGCTGCACAAAGGCCTCAAACACGGCGAGAGAGGGGCGAGCGAGCGCGCGCTGCGACCCATGGCGGCGGCGCCCACGGTCACCGCCAACCAGGAAGTGGATTAGGAGCTTTAATTATTGAGAGATTTCAGCGTTGTTGTTTATTTTGGGATCATCCCTGGAAAGATAAAGACAGAGAGTTTCTGTGTGTGTGTGTGTGTGTGTGTGTGTGTGTGTGTGTGTGTGTGTGTGTGTGTGTGTGTGTGTGTGTGTGTGTGTGTGTGTTCTCCTGGATGACGCCGTTTGGCTTCACGCCGTCCATCAGAACCGCAGAACATTCAGACGTTTCCCAGTCAAACGGGAAACGTCTGAATGTTCTGGATCTGCTGGGAGTCCAGGTCAGGAAGAGCTGCAGAGGTCAGAGGTCAAACCAGGCGGAGCGGAAACCATGGAAACAGGTTTATGGAAGAGAAGAAACGAGGGAAGGTTCTGATGCAGATGGACCGGATCAGAACCACCGACTGTCCGTTCACCATAATGTTGAAGTTGTTTCTTCATAGTTTTCCATGTGAATCTGTTTAGTGCGGAGTGCTTCTGACTCGTTCTTCCTCTGCTCAGGTTCTCGTCCATAAACTCTGGCCCGCAGTATGATGCTGCCACCGCCGTGCGTCGCAGTGGACTTTATTTTTACTGATTTTGGTGTTTTGTTTGTAAAACTATCGGCGGCTCGTTGCGGCGCCGCTGCTGGTAGCCGAGGCCAGAGACCGTGCTGCCGTAAAGCGGATTAAAGTGCTGACAGCAGCAACAATGCTCTTTCTCCATCAGTCTCAGCGTTGGAGTTTGTATTATTTGCCTGAATGCGTTAATGGTTATAAATATCCGCTCCTTTCAGTGGATTTCTCTCCATTCATTCCTCTTTTCCTCGTCAAAACCTTGAAGACAAACGCGGAAACGCGTCGCCCGCCAGCGAGCGTCACGCGTTAGCGGGGCAATCTGGGCGCACGCGGCCCGATGGCGCGCCTGATTTTTGTTCCCTAATTGGCATAGCTTATTAAGTCAGAGTTGGCAGCGGGGCAGAAAGGGGGTTGCTTTAATAACATCCCCTCTCCGTTGGATTTGATGCACTTGTTCGGAGGCCGATAACGCGGCGCGCCGCCCCCGCCGCCGCCCTCCTGTCTTTATCCGGTGAAATGTGGCTCCGTTCCGCCCGTCACTCAGCGCCGCCGCGGCTGACGGCGTTCAGAATAGAGCAGTCCTCGCCCCCCCGCCGCCGCTCGCTGCTAAATTGTCTCGTTTTCCCCGGCATGGCGGTGCAGAACGGCTCACAAAAACACCCAGCCATGCTCCTAATTGTGCCTGGATTAGGGATTAATAGGCGTTTTTAGCTATAATGGCAAATATTATTAGCCCCATTTGCTTTTCTAATGCTAATAATGACTTTACTAATAAAGGCAGTGATTTCAAGGTTAGCGCCTGTGAGCTCCGATCGCAGCCGCCGGTTTTCTTCCCGGAGCTCAGGAGCGGCGGCCGCCTGCTCCGACGGGCCGCGCAGCACCGAGTCGGCGCGCCAGATGTTTTCCCCCAGGAGGAGGCCCAGAGGTGCTGAGCTGCTAGCGTTAGCTCTGCAGTCATTTAAACAACACAAAC